CTTGCCTTCCTAGAGACCCTGGAGACTGAGGCAGGAGGATCGGGAATTCTAGACCTACCTGGACCATTATAACTTGGAAACCGCCTTCCCCACCAAAACACAGTACTTTTCTGGTGATTATAACACTATTTATTATTGAATTATTTAAACAATATTATAAAGGTCATTTAATTAAAGTTAACTCAGTAAATTAGTAGCAAAATCGAAAACCAAAAATTATCTTCTGATTTCCACACTTTTCATTTAAATGTCATCCAATATACCTGATAAACATTCAATGATAACAAATTTCTTTAATTCAGTTTTAATATAAATGATGTATAAGAAAGAGATTGATTGTTTCTGTCATTTTAAATATTTTCTTGGCTGTTTTTGTTTTATTAATCTCCCACATTTTATTATATCTTTATATCATGAATTCTTCCTTCATATTGACAAAAAGTTTTGAAGTAGGTGAGGATTCTGCCTTAAAGACTCTTACACTCAGCAGAGTTGTAATCTTTATTTGATGTTACTTGAAGAAGGAAACAAAGAAATTCATACCACTGTGCACCTTCCCCTGCCTAACACAGTTGGAATTGTTCTATTTCTTACAATTCCAACAAATTTTTATGTTCATCTTTTAAATATTATTCTTCCTATAGTTCTTCAGAGATTTTTTTTTTAGACATAGACAAAAAGCAAAGTGTTGTATAAAGAAAATGATAAGATACTCAGGGAAAAAATGGAATTTGATTGAAAGTCCTATGATTTTGCATGGCTAATGTTCCAACTAATTACATGGAGTTTGCATTGGTCAGTAGAACATACTCTCTGTTTGCGCTATAATAAAGTATCATGCTATTTTTTCCTCACTGAATACTATTTGTTTGGTTTACCTATAAAATAAGTCCAGTATTTTTTGTCCCAATATTTTATAAGCAATTTATCACCACTACATTCTTGAAGTACATGGATTATTATAATGGAAAGTTATAATTATCATTGACATCTATCTTCATTTAAAGTCACCTTGAAGTAGCTATTTCTGTATCATCACCAAAACTGGAAGAACACCACACCAATTAGAGCAATCTGTTCAACATCTTTGGCTCAGAATATGTTGATACCATTCTGAATTCTAACATTAAAAGCTTGGAAATATAAGGTTGAATTTTAAAATGGCAATTTAGAGAAGATAATAAAGGAATGAAATTTCATTTTTGTCTCTGTATGTTAAAAGCATAAATTTCAGATTGAAGGTTTTAGTTTTTAAACATTTGAACTAATTTGCTATCATTTTGACACATGTGCCACATTTTAGTGTATTTTATAGTAATTCATTTACCTGCCATAAAATGTCTGACTTAAACACATTCTGGGTAAGATGAAAGCTCCCAAAATAGCTATGAACAATGCAGTAGATCATATGTAAATTGGAAAGTGATATTTTCCAATTTAATGAAACATTTTACACTACCCCAGTAGTGCTGACACAGGATTTAAGGCAAGACAGTCTTACCTTAAAAGCTAACAGTCTGCTAACCACTCTATAGATCTATTGCTTTCACTTTTATCTTCCTGTAAGGCTTCTGATACCATTGGTCCAACTAGAAATTGGAGTCCCTATGACATAATAGGTCGTGCGACATAACAATTGTGTTTTATCTGAAGATAATTGCCATTTAATTTTTATACAACTAGCAAATGTCCTTTAGATAGCCCTCTCTTCTACTGTGAATTGTAAAGAAAGACATTCTGCCTACGCTTAATATAAAATAGTAAAAATTACTTATTTTTCGGTAAATTTAATAACTATTATGCTCGTTATATTTCATTAAGTATCCCAACTACACTATGCCTCTTAATGTTCATTGAAATATCCTTGGGAGACACAGTTTATCATTTAGCTATTACTATTGTAAGCAACCCGAGTCCCATAACTCCAGTTTCTTGCCTATGCTCAGAAACTTTGCTCAACTTTGGTATTCTTATAATATATTACTAAATAGAACAGTTAATTTTTGGTATCTTGTCCCTTTTTAATCATGATATTTTCAGTAAATCTGCAAACTTTAATGTATAGTATCTTTACATAGAAAGCCATAAAGCCAAGCCTTTTACAGTCTTTCCATTTTAAGCTTCATCTGAGTCCATTTTCTCAGAAACAGTCTAGTTCAATAGGTACTGTCCATGTCCTATATACTCCAGAAACTCTGCAAGCACCATGACACATGATATATGATAGGTCTTAAGTGTTAGACAAACAATATCAGTACTTCTTGGGGAAATGAAAAGAAAATAGCCTTCATTCTTAATGAAGCAATTAAAATTCTAAGTCAGCACATGGATGTGTATAGTGACTAAGTCCTAATTTTCTGATCAAGATATATGATTTAAAAAAATCATTTAAGAGAAAAATAAAATGCAAAATATTTAAAGCTAAGGTTATCAACTGCTAAAAGAAAAGGGAGATCTAAAGTGAATCCAGAAAGAGTAAAGATCACTGTTAAATGTTAGATTTAGGAAAGATTGAAAAGGAATGCTGATTAAGTAGCTTCTGGGCATAGCTTACTTGTGACATTTATTTATAAAAAATGTAATAAGCCATATAACAGACAACTTTCTCTTCTAAATGATAATTGAATTTCAGTGGTATAGATAAATGAGAAAATTGATATTAGATGCTTACACCACAGAAGACATTTTTCTTAGTTTGATACGACTGCCATAGCTAATTACTACTTACTGGTTATTTTACTTTAAACTAGAAGAATTTTCTCTCTACTGTGCTGGAGGCTAGAGTCTAAGATCAGGGTGTCTGCAGGATTAGTCTCTTCTGAAGTCTCTGTGCTTGGCTTCTAGATGGTCGCAGTCTGGCCACTTTTGTGTATATATGTTCTCTATACATGTGTACTTCTGAGTTCTCTTGTGTGCCCAAATTTCCACTTCTTACACGGGCATCCAAGAGACAGGATTAGAACTCACCTTAATAGATTCATTTTAACTTTATTGTATGTTTAAAACACCCATCTCTAAATAAAATCAGGTCTGATGTATTGGGGGCTAGGGACTCATCATAGGAAGTTTGACGGAACACAGCTCATGACATGACATCACTCACTAACTAACGTCTCAAGGATTTTCTCTATTGCCTACTTCTTCCTTGGCCTAACTTACAAGGTCCAGCTAATTTTTATATCTTAAAATTTCTGTTTGTTGCAGAGGTTCATTATTTATTTTAGGAAATCTTTTAAACTAAAAGCTTCCTAAGGAAGACGGTTGGTGCATCAGTGCTTCTAGATAAACACAGGAAGCCTTTCTGGTGCCAAATACAGAAAGCCTTTCTGGACCTTGTCTTGGTTCAAAGTCCACTTTCATAATCCCATGAAAAGTTATTGAAATTCTAGTGAGTTAATTCCAAACTGCACTTCCAGTACAACCTATGATGAGAATAAATACACTAAATCATATTTATAATTGCCATATTTATAGGGAGCCCAAAGAGTCCTAAGTCCTGCTAGAATGATGGTTAACCAGAACAAAGAGCCCCCCATAGGTTGAACCCAAGTTTTATTGATTTGTAAAGAGAAGAGTAGTTTAGGGAAAGAGTGACTGTGAGAGAGAAAGTATCGGAGTGCTATGAGTTGAGCTATGTAGGAGGTGAGGTCTGCAATCACCTCTCAACATGCAGAGAGAGAGAGAGAGAGAGAGAGACAAAAAGATTATTCTGCATATCACAGATTGGGGAGTATCTAGTGTTTTGGTGCTGGTGCTTCAGTTTTGATATGTAATCCATGCCATGAGAAGTCATAGCCTCTTTTCCCCAGGCTTATTCTCAGCCAAAAATGTGGCATTGCTAGGCCTAGCTCCCACGTATTACTTGAGGTCTGTAAGTGGGGCATCACTGAGCTCTGCATTTCTTGGGAGATGACATATCAGCACCTTAGCTAGACATTTTTGCATTGCTTAAAGTCATTTGATCTGACAAGGAAATATCTTAGCCAGGTCTGCACATATCAGTGCATGGAGGTAGGGCCAAATGCTCTTCTTTGAAGGAGAACCTTCCAGGTGATCCACCACAGATAAACGTCTCCCTAAACTTGATGTAGTGGACTTTGGTGTCTGTACTTTGAAGAGTGGGTAGGTGGAAATTCGGGGCTGCTACTTCACTAGTAGTGGAAAACACTTCAGGGTGGGGTGTCTTATTATGCTTAAGGTATATCGTGTGGACTGTGATTTATTTGAACTGTATTCAGTTTGCACCTTGAATGTCTGTGTAATTTTATGAGTCTACTGTTTTTAGCCTTTTCATATTCTAGAAAATGAAATAATACACAACATTTCAATGTGACATTTTGAAATTGTACCTCCTTTTTTCCTTTGAAAAGTTCATGTGTTATAATTCGTGTATCCTTCTTTTCATCTAGCTTTCAAATTTTTCAAACATATGTGTCTGTGGTTCCTTTCCATCTGTCAACTGCACTATTTAGATAGAATTTTTCTATTTCCTTATATACCCATTGTGAATTCTAATGTGAGGGGAAAAGTATCCTCAGGAGATATTAATGCAATATTTATCTTGAACCCAACGTTCTTTAGGTTTGTACATTTCCTATTAAATTATTACCAAGCTTCTATAACAGAAATTACTCTCCAGGAGATCCTAATTCCTTATAAGACATTTCTCAAATACGCTTGAGAAATCCAATATAGACTTGTTAACGTGACAATTATTCTTTAGAAATGTCTATGGAACATGCCATATATTGTCATTTTTCCTCTTTAAAAAATGAGTTCTCATGCAATTTAAAGATATATTTTTTATTTTCTTCAGGAAACTTTTCACTTAAAATTTTCAAAAGAATACAGTATCTTATGTTTAATCATGAAGAATTAACATTGCTGTGAAGTCAGTACAGGCCTTCCTGTAACATTGGCTTACAGCACTAAGTATGAAATCAAAGCCAGAACCATCTTGTCGTTGTTCTTGTTTTGATCCTGTGTGTTGGTATTTGCAGGGATGAAGAACCAGGAGGCCAGCTGGTTTCAGAGAAGTTCCATATTGACTGGGATTCCGTCCTTGTTGACACAGATAATGTTATTGTAGCAAGATTTGATGGCAGAGGAAGTGGATTCCAGGGCCTCAAAATTTTACAGGAAATTCACCGAAGGTTAGGTTCAGTAGAAGTAAAGGATCAAATAGCAGCTGTGAAGTAAGTGGGTGTATATTTTTATGTCTTTTTTCTATAATGACAGAATTTAGGCATATGAATACTGCTTGACTCAGAGGTTACTTTTTTAGTAATTTTGGGAAATTTTCTAATTTAATCATATAGTTCTATCACATTTTTTCAAATATGTATCTATCTTAGTGGTATAATAAATGAATGACTGAATTTCCCTTTTGCAATTATAATTTATTTTGAAGTTATGAAAATGAGAGTGACATTATACCACTGTATTATTTATTTGCAATAATCCTTAATGTCTTTTACTTAAACAATCAATTGTATTTCTTTAAGTATTATAGTTATTATATCACATTGGTATGCAAAAATTAACTAAGAAAGCTTGTAGGTTCTTTCCAAAATTACACAGAAATTAGCTAGGATAGTGTTAAGGTATAGATGGTAACACAATCTATCTTCAATATGGCCAAAGATTTGGCATTTGTAACAAGTTCCCAAGAGATACCAAACAAGCAGATCATCACTCTGGTATCAAGATTTTAGAATATTAAATATTTCCACATTAATACAGCTGCAGTTAATAAAGCATTTTGTGTGTGTGTGTGTGATAAATTTACATGTGCATTTAACTCAAGAATATGTGCCTACATTTTTTTCTTTTCATTGCAGATTTTTACTGAAACTGCCATATATTGACTCCAAAAGATTAAGCATTTTTGGAAAGGTAAATAGTAGAAATACTACTTTGTGTATTTCAGGGCTGTACTTCCTATATGCATCAATAAGGATAAAGCACCAACTGAGCTACATAATCATTAATAAAAATTTAAAGAATATTACAAATGTTGTAAAATGACTCAGAGAAAATGAACCCTGAACTGCATGAAGAGAATCATTCAAGAGATGAGGGAGAAAATGTCTAATGCAAATGTTCAGTGTTAGTAAAAAAAAAAAAAAAGCATATATGGAGAACAAAAAATTAAAAAAAATTACCTATATTTAAACTTACATTGGGGATTGATGTAAAATAAGAATGGTAAGAAAACTAGGTATAGAATTTAGAGTTCCTCCACATCAGCTATGGAATTTTACCTTTACCTTGTCGTCATGAAAACTTTAAGCCCCAGGTGTATAAAGTTCAAAATGTCACATTGCACCCCCATATACTTTCACTGGGGTTAATAAACCTCTGGACAGGCAGACCTAGTAACTCAAACATGCCGGGGAATATAAAATATAAACAAATATTAACAAAAATGAGTATGTTTGACATAAAATAGTGTTCCATTACAACTGAACAGTTATTAGTATGATGACAATTATTAGCATGGATTAGAAGTTTGGCTTCTTAAGTGTATAAAGGAACAGTGTCAGCCTTAAGACTTCTGGTATTAGACCTTGAATTATTTTCTTGGATCATACTTGTTTTATTGCAGTATTAAGTGAAGTTGTGCAGAACTCATAAAATGGGTAGAAGTAACCTTGTTGCTTTTTCTATTGCATGGAAAGGTTTGTTTTAAAAGTTAATTAGAGTATGAAACATTTTGGGCTATTATTTGTTGCAAAAAGTTTTAATAAATATTTAAAATTATGTAACCATTTAAAGGCCTTCAAGGTTTTTCTATTTGTTTTGGCATCAGTACTCAAAAAGGATTTTACTTTTTTTTTATTTCATGTAAACTGTCAAGAATATTTTCAACATTAGGATGTGATATCATTTGCTTACGTTTAACCATTTACTGATTGACATACTTTAATTTCCAATATAGATTATTGCTTTTCTGATTTGATATAGCACTCATGGAGAAAAACATATTCTCTGTCGCTCTTCCTGTCATTCTTCTTTTAAATTCATTTTACTGGAGCACTTTATGTATACATAATGATTGCATTCATCGTAGGGAGATGCAACTTATCTTATATCTTGATTCTTCTTTTTCCTGCCCCTTTCAGCTCCTCTTCCCCTCCTTATTTACAAAGCTCGTTGTCCATCATTCCTTGTTTTCAAAGAAGCGTATTTTCTGTTCTCAATGCTTTTTAAATTTCACTAATTTGTACCCTTATCATTATTTTTTCTACTATTTAAAACTACTTTTGATCTTTAATTATTAAGCTCAATGCTGCAGTTATAATACATTTTAGTATTCTTTCTTTCAAACAGAAGAGTTGGATATAACAATCTTTCAAATATTTCTTGCAGTTCTTTCTCCTAGTAATGTTATCAGTATTTATTTAAATATATATATATATATATATACATACAGTTTTTGCATTCACTATATATATATATATATATATATATATATATATATATATATATGGTTTTGCTTGTTTCGTTTTGTTTTCAGATAGACAGTGTGGTTATGTAGTCCAGGCCAATTTTGAACTCATTGTGCACTCCAGGCTGGCAGGCTGGCTCCAATTCCTGGAGGTTCTTCTCAGTTTCCTGGGTGCTGGGATTATAAACATGCACCTCCCTCCCTGATTATTAACTGCTTTTACTCTTTGATTTTGGTATTCTTCCTTTACAGAGTTTGATTATTACTGCATTATGATAAGATAACTGACCTGTATAGTGGAAAGACTAAAATGTCAATTGATTTACGATATGGCAAGGTGGATAATTTTTAAAACTTGTCTGTGTGCCTAAATCTAAGTTTTGGTGTTACACGAATATCAGTTCAATAAAATTTGTTCAGAATAATATTTCACTCAAAAATTAATGAGTAATGTTGTCTCTAATCTAGAAAAAGGTGTATTTTTTAAAATTTCATTTTAGGGGCTGAGGATTTAGCTCAGCGGCATAAGTGCCTGCCTTGCAAGCAGGCAGTCGTGAGTTCGATCCCTAGTACCGATAAAAACAAAAAAGACAAAAAAAAAAAATTCATTTTAATGGTGAAATATTCAGTTTTTCATAATGAGGTTAATTTTCAACACGTGTGTTTTAAACTGATTAGTCACTCCCCACAAATTAAGAAATATTTTATATTCTCAATAAATCAAGTTCTTTATTGCTTGTACTGATCCAATTTAAGTCTGTTTTTTTTTTTTTTTTTGCTTTAGAGATAATTTTGTTATATTAAAATTTTAATTCCCAACTAGGGTAATAGGTTAAAAGTCTTGTGCCTGACTGACATGCACTAAGCCCTGGGTTCAATGAACAGGACAGAAAAATACAAATGTGAAACCAGCATCCTTTGAATAGTACTTGCTAATTATAGAAATTTACAACTTATGATTCTCAAACTGTGCTTCATTTTTAGCTGTACCCTTTAAACAAAAACAGGACAAAAATGATTAATTTTCTCTTTCTGACAATTTCTGTATTTTAATGGAAATTATATCCACTTACACTTATTATGATCACCGATACCTTTAAATGGTACTGTTTTCAGTATCCTGTGCCTATTGTCTTATTCATTTCTTTATTTTCCTTCCATTCATTAACAATGATTTGGATGTGTTTTTCTAAATACAGTTTTTGATTTTCTCACTTGTATTGCCAAATTGTACTTCACTTTATGACTATCAATCAAGTTGTTTATCCACTCATATACTAATAGACATTTGTGCTTTTAGTTTTTGCATTCATGAAGAGTTGCTGTAAGCATTTGTGTACATATTTTTTAGATGTATATATTCATTTTTCTTGGTAACTACTTAAAGGTAGAATAATTGATTTCTATGGTAAGTCTGAATTTAGTTTTCCAAGGAAAAGCCAAATTATTTTTCCAAAATTCACACATTATTTTATCAACAGCAACATAGGAGTATTTGCAAGCATTCAGCCTCCTCACCAACGTTAGTGGTCTTTTTGACTGAAACCAGTCTGACCAGTGGACAGAAGTGTTTGCTTTACTTTTATTTTAAACTCACTGACAAAATAACATTGAACATCTTTTCATTTATTTTTAATTATGTCAATAATATTCATATATATGTACACACATTTTATATATTCACCATTTAGACTGTACAACATATGAACACTTTCATATTAAGATTTACTAAATCACCGGAAACATGTTCTAAGCACAAAATTACCTGTGTCTTCCATTTTAAAAATATTTAATTTAGATACAACATACATAGTATAAAATTCACTCATATCTTAAAATCTGGTAAGTCTTTCCACCATGTTCTGCATTTCAAAGGCCTTTGTCTCATACAGGTACATTGCATTTCTTGATAGGTTATAAAATATCACTTTTTAATTTCTAAAAAATAGCCTCCAAGATTTTGATGTGAATTGTGCTAAATCTGTAAGTCTCATAGGGAAAGCATCCAGCTAAGAAGTATTAACAGTTTCATATATTTTAAAAGTTATATTTTATTTTCTATACTTTCTTCTAGATATGCAAATTTATGAATATCTTTTTATTAATCATGATGAGGCTGTGTTGGTTTCTCTGAATGTGCATTTTGGTGTCTTTTATGAGTCTTAGAAAAGTATCATTATTTACATTAGAATGTTAATGTAACTTCATTCTTTTTAAATGCTTTCTAAAAGCATGTTACAGATCTCTTTTAACACTTTAAAAAGCTTTCCCATGTGGTGAATCCTCCTGCTCAGTCTCCTGAGTGCTGGGATTACAGATGAGCGCCACCACACCCAGAGGAGTGCATCATCATTAAAACTTTAATGCGTAACATTTACATATCACCTTCTCAAATATCCCTAGCTTTATCTCTTGTGTAATCTACCTGTCCTTATGCTAGTTTTACATAGTTTTTCTTTATAAAATGCTACATAAATGTTAACATTTTTGCAAGCATTTATCTATTCTTTACCTTTTTCTTCCAATATAAGCTTGACTCACCTCTTCTAGTCACTCCACTTTTCTTCCTTAATGTTTTCCTTAACAACAGAAATTCATTCCACTCAGTTCTTGAGTGTGAAAGTTGAAGATCAGGTGCAGGGGCACGGATGGCTTCCCTGAGGCCTCGCTCCCTGGGCTGCAGGTGGCTGCCCTCTTGCCTCTTCATTGGTTCAGCTGTAGGTTCTAAATTAAATTTTGATTAAACTATTTTTACAATACAGGAGAATTAAACTCTCCACAAGGTACAGTCTTAATTTGAATTAACATTTAAAATAATTTCTTTCAATAAACTGTTTTTAATCTCTTCCAGTTGGATTTATACTATATACTATAGTATATACTATACTATTCAGTATACTATATATATACTATATATATTTAGTATATAAACTATTTGTACTATATACAATATATATATATATATTTAATATATTACTATGTATACTATATATATACTATATATAGTACTATATAGTATAGATTATATATATATATATATATATATATATATATATTATCTGTGTATCTAAAATTGACTGCAATTTATATGTTTTCATTTTTATGTGGATGATACCTTTTTCTCTAACTGGTTTCGTAGAATAATACACAGTTCATAATAATGCCTACTTAATTTTTAACTAAACATGTGAGTTACTCAAAAATTTTTGCGTAACTGATTAAGGAGTTTAAACCGTTTTAGTTGGAATAATTAGCTTCAGAACTTAAATTAATCTCAGGTAATATTTAATAATTTAAATTTTATTCTTTAAAGCAAATTTATATGGTAGTTTAAGGTAAGAAATCAAAATCAAACTTTTCTGAATAATTTTCTTTAAGAATTTATTCATGAATTGAAAAAATGTGGTAAAACTAACAAATGTTTTATAAACATTACTCCAGCACC